CTCGTTCAATTCTTCTCATGGGATCAGAGCAGGTCCCCTCCTAGGGACTGTTCATAGGGCCCACCAAAGCGCGCCCCGAGGCGCGCGTTTTTTTTTTTTTTTTTTTTTTTTTTTTTTTTTTTTTTTTTTTTTTTTTTTTTTTTTTTTTTTTTTTTTTTTTTTCTGCGACCCGCCGCTCTCACGTCGCGGCCCCGCCGCCTCACATACGCGGCCCTGCTGCCTCACCTTGGCGGCCCCGCCGCCCTTATCCTCGCGGCCCCGCCGCCCTTACCTTCGCGGCCCCGCCGCCTTCACCTACGCGGCCCCGCCTCCCTCACCCTTCGCGGCCCCGCCGCCTTCACCTACGCGGCCCTGCCGCGTTCACCTACGCGGCCCCGCCGCCCTCACCTTCTCTGCTACGCCGCCCGGTACTGGAGCAGCCGACCCGCTCAGCAGCAGCCGCCGAGCCGCAGTCCAGCCGAGCCGCCCAGCAGCAGCCGCCAAGCCGCCGGGCCGCCGAACCGCAGTCCAGTCGAGCCGCCCAGCAGCAGCCGCCGAGCCGCCCAGTAGCAGCCGCCGAGCCGCCGGGCCGCCGAGCCGCAGTACCGCCGAGCCGCCCCGCAGCCGAGCCGCCCTGCTGCCGAGCCGCCCTGCTGTCGAGCCGCCCGACCTGCCCTGTCTGGTGAGCACAGCCCCACTGCTACTGCGTGCCCTTCCCACACTGCTTGCACTGCTAGTCTGTCTTCATGGCTACCCCTAGTGTCCTAGCTTTTGACGCTGAGGGTCGCGCCATTGACTTTGAGGTCTGGGTAGACGACCTGCAGCTGTTCTTACAGTGCGATAGGGCAGACGGTCTTTCTCTCTTTGACCTCACCTCTGGCGCCGTCCCTGCCCTTGCTGCTGATGCTGACGCCACTGTTCGCTCCCAGTGGGCCACGCGCGATGCTGCTGCACGTCTTGCTGTGCGTCGCCACCTGCCTACCGCTGAGCGCGCGCACTTTAGTCAGTACAAGAGTGCCCAGACCTTGTACGACGCTGTAGTTGCGCGCTACTCCTCCCCTGCCACTGCTGCACCGAGCCGCCTCATGCTCCCCTTCCTCTTCCCTGACCTTGCCGCCTTTCCCACTGTCGCTGATCTCATTACGCACCTCCGCACTAGTGACACTCGCTACCGCGCTGCGCTTCCTGCTGACTTCTGTGCCAAGAACCCCCCCCCCCATGTACATCACTATCTACTTTTTAGTCACTCGCCTCCCTGACTCCCTTCGTGTAGTCCGGGACCACTTCCTAGCAGTCTTTCTCACCACCCTCATAGTCGACAGCCTCGAGAAGGCCCTCCTAGCGGCGGAGAAGAGCATAGTCGCTGTAGGAGCCTCTCGAGGTGACCCCCGCGCCCCCATCTTTGAGGGGTGTTCTCCTTCCCCTCTCTTGCCCTCTGTCGCCTCTGCCGCTGCGGCCGACCTCGTTGGTCTTGAGTCGGTCGGTGCGGCGTCTGCCCCTAGCGGGAGACGCCGCCCTGGCAAGGGCAAGGGGGGCAAGGGAGCGGGTGGAGCCAGCGGGGGCGGTGGAGGTGGAGGTGGAGGCGGCGGAGGGAGTGGGGGTGGCGGTGGAGGTGGTGGCGGGGGTGGGGGTGCTAGTGGCGGCGGTGGAGGCGGGGGTGGCGGCGGCGGTGGTGGTGGGAGCGGTGGTGGCGGAGGCGGCGGCGGTGGAGGCGGAGGCGGGGGTGGCGGTGGTGGAGGTGGTCGGAGTGGCGCTTTGCAGCGGAGCAGCACTGGGGGTGGTCAGCGCCAGCAGCAGCAGCAGCAGCAGCAGCAGCAGCAGCAGCAGCAGCAGCGCTCTCGCGACGTCCCCACCCCTCAGCAGCTCCGTGAGTGGTACACGCAGCGTCAGCGTGGTGGGGGTTTTGGTCCCTGCACCTACGTTCTTCGCACTGGCGACCGCGCTGGAGAGCAGTGTGGGGGTACCCACACCGCCTAGCGCTGCTTTGGCCGCCTGACGGACGCTTGGCGCCAGCAGTTCCCGGAGGCTGCGGAGATCCCCCGCTGGGGAGAGCTGTCTAGGGCTGGAGTAGCTATCTTTGATCTTGACTTTGATGCTCTCCTTGCTGCCATGTATGCTGTGACCATTAGTGATGAGGGTGACTGTTACCGGTGTTTCCCGCCCGACCCGGGCATTGGTACTGCTGCTCTAGGTGCCTGTGAGGTTTCTGCTCTAGGTGCCAGTGCGTCTGTGCTCTCAGGTACTGGTGAGGCTGCTCTCTCAGGTACTAGTGAGTCTGCGCTCTCAGGTACTGCGTCGGCTTCGGCCTCCCACACCTTCACCCTTGACTCTGGAGCGTCTCGCTCCTTCTTTCGGGACCGCACCACACTCACACCGCTTAGTCAGCCGGTTGCGGTGTCCCTGGCTGATCCCTCTGGGGGTCCTGTCCTGTCTCGCTTCTCCACAGTCCTCCCGTGTCCGGCGGCTCCCTCTGGCACCCTGTGTGGTCTCTACCTCCCCTCGTTCTCTACGAACTTGGTGA